TTGTCCTTCGGGATTGGGTGGAATAGAAATAAGGTAAATGCATAAAAAATAAAGTCATTCGGCAACCAAAGGAGCTGCATGACAGCTGGGTGCTTTGCTGTCCTAGAGAGAGAATTTACTTTTGTTTAAGATAAAGGATCAAAGCCTGCTTTGAATTGTGTTCCTTACACCACCTGGCAGCTGTTGCTGCTCTCTTTTCTGGCAAGGTGCCGAAATGATGTAGGGAACAGGGGTCTGAGCTCCTAGCAACTCACATACTGGCTTCACATTCTGTTTAATTGCCAATATTTCCCCCAGCAGAAAGATTCTTTCGCCTCCCTTCCTTTATTTCAGTTGGCGCTTTTCTAGCCTTTTTTTCCCCTGTTCCTAGGCACCCAGTGGTGGTTTTCTGTCTACTGATTTTCTCCTTCTGATTTCCACACCATTTAACTGCCAATCCTTTTGCTACTAGATCCAAGTGCTGAACTCTTACTTCTTTTTGAAAAATAGAAAAGCCTGTACTTGTCTCGGGGCACTTCCGTGTGGGATGGTTGACCCCTCCCCTTGGGTGAACTGGAAAAACTCAGAGGTGTGCCGTGACCGAAGACTCTTGCATTCCTCAGCCGGTAGGAACCCCAACCCTTTCAGAGGCTACAACAGGGATTCCCCCAGACTATTCCTGAGATGGCCTGTCCTGGAGCTCAGCCCAGAAGCCAGCTTCTGGAATATTCTGTTGCCATTTTGCAGGCCATCTGCACATGCCTAGAAGTGCAGTTCCATCCTTGCTCCTTTTCGACCACCACAGCAGTTATATTATCAGAAACCTGCTGGGTAGGAATAACCTGAGGTATACATATTTCCTCCTGTTTTCCACTTCCTAAAGTTATTTCTTCCTCGCTTCTGTTGTTGTTTTAAGAAAAAAGGCCACTTTGTCTCAAAGAGACTAATGGTGCCCTGAGGCTGCCATCGGGAGCTGACAGGCACACTGACGAGCCTCAGCAGAATTTCCTGGATCCTCAACCTGGCATGGCTTGGCTGGCTCCTGGCTCATACCAGCCTCTCAGATATGCAGCATGGCTAGATAAGACTTTTTACTGCAGATTAGGAAGCTTAACAGGAAGATGTGATTCCCTTTTGATGTCCACTATCATTCTCTGCTCCCTGACCTTGATTCCAGCATTGTCACTGGACCTTCAGATCTAGGGCTCAAAAGGGGGAAGTAGAGATTAGCATCCTCATGCTGGACAAAACCAGCTGCAAAGAGTGATCCACCTGCACAGTTGTTCCCTGGCCTTGGAAATTCAGGACAGCGTCCCTCCCAAATAATCTGCCTGCTCTTGCGATGAGGGGGCTGTTCCACCTTGGTGGTGTTATGGTCATCTCCAAGTTGAAGGAGTCAGGGTCGGAGGAGCCTATTCTAGGTTAATGTCAGGAATTAGAGCAATTAAGCACATGAGGCTGAGGCTGCCAGCAGTCCTCCAGAATAGCTATGGTATGAGTCTGTAATGGTCTGTGGGAATGACCCTGGAGACAGGAGGGGGAGCCGTAGATTAGACCACAGTCAGATAAGAGGCCGCTGAGCCCACAGAAGGAATAGGGACAAAGCAAACAGAAGGGACCCCCCCTAGTTTCTTGGACCATAAAGGTGAGGGGGGAGCGATATAGTTTCAGACTTGCAAGTTTCTGTTAATGTAACCTTACAATAAAAAGGTACTTCTGGGTGTGCTTCTTGTCTGGACTACCTCACAAGCCTGGCAGAATCAGATGACAGAAGTTTGGATTCTGAGCAGCTGTCCAGGCTGAGAATGCACCACAAACTCCAAGAGCTGAACGGAGATGTTCTGTTCGGTTCCTCCAGAAGCAAAAGCAGCAAAGACCTTAATTGGGCTTGTCCACAGCAGCCTATATCAGTGAAACCACCAGTGGCCAGCTTCTCCACTGGAAACAATCACTTCAACCCAGATCTGTGTTTTCTTGTCTCTGAATCCTATGTGTTATCTGAACCTCAGCTTTTGGACCCTGGACTGACTACTTTTCTGTGACTCCTGGACTACATTTATCCACACTCCAATTTGGCTTTGGACTCTCACAATCAAGATTTGCTTCCAGTTTAGCGTTTTGGTGTCTGCAGGCACCTGTGCGTGTCAGTGCTCTGCTGCAGAAGCCTGTTAAATGCTTGCAGATTTGAAAGTAGACAGCTTGCCACCCAAATCCATGTGTGTTCTCAGCCTGGAACAAGACAGGTGGTTAAAGGAAGAATATTTCCACACTGTGATCCACCCTTGCTACAAACAGTTACTGAGGTTCACAGTGGAGTCCAAGCTTTCATTTTGCAAGCCTTTCTTTTGGACTGTTAGCACCTCCCAGGTTTCCATAAAGTATGTGGCAGTAGTTACGGCTCATCTCAGAATACAGGAGTCCAGGTATACGCCTGTTTGGATGGTTGGCTCCTGGTTGTAGATCTGAAGTTACGACTTACATGCCTATACCACCTTGCAAAGATTGGCCTCTGTATAAATGAAAAAAAGTCCTCCTGGCACCGACAGTACATTGGGGCATAGCTGAACACAGTCTGGCTGAGGTTCTTCCATCACAACAGATGCTCTTTTTAGCCAATGAGCCAGTTCCTTAAAACACAGCTGAGTCATAAAGGTAGTTGTTGCCTAAGTTGCCTAAGTGTCCCACCCAAAAAGGGTTCCTACTATTTTCCACCTGAAGTTAATTCTCAGCAAACAAGTTTCCAGATTCTGAGTACTGTACTACAGACATCTGCAGTGTGGAAAGACTTCTCACCAGTGCTGCCATTCAGGAGCGTTGCTGTGAATGCCTATCAAACATAAACTGAGGGGAGAGTTCACTCAGGTCAGCTAGCCAGGACATTGGATTTTCCAAGAATCCTCGTAGCGTAGCTATCTAATGCTTTGGGCTAAAGAGAAAGAATAGTACTAAGAAAGCAAATAGTACAAATTGTGTCTGACAGTTCAACACTGGGGGTTGAGTAATTACAAACCCTCCTTGTAGTCAACCATGGAGATGGCCTTGAAGGGGATTATTCAGAAGCTGTTACAGAAAGAACAAGGGCAGAAGCATTCCTTAGGTCTTGGAAAAGAGACAGTATTGGGAAGAGGCTCAAGTGGGCTCCTCCATGACTCAGTGAAGTGTAAGAGGGAGGGGAGGAGAAACACAAGCAGACTTGCAAGTTCTGTTACTAGAGGCTATCAGTAACATAGAGTCTTCCTCTGGAGTCAGTTTTTTGATCTGGTCTACCTCACAGGGCTGCAGCTGGAGGTGTGGAGTATGACACTGCGGTTGCTATCAACCTGTGGGAATGACCTTGGTGGATATGCCTAGTTGTCACCATAGGAATAGTCACAATGGGGTGTTCCACCAGAAGGTGAAACCCTCTTTGAGAGCTTGGAGAAGCCCATTGTAGATTGTTTTGCTTCCTTCAGCAACAGTTGGTGCCAACATTTGTGTGGCAGACGGGCAGGGTCCTAATCACAAGTCAGTGGTAGATAGTTTCCTTTACAGGTGGATATTATTATTTAGATTTTTATTCTGCCTTTCATTCAGAAGTTCAAGGAGGCATACACAGTGAACCCTCCTCCTATATTTCCTCACAGATACAACCCTGTGAGGTAGTTGGGTTGAGAGAATGAGATTCCTTTATGCCTTTCTGCTCCTGCTCCTAAAAATTAAAGTCCATGGACTAGAGACAACACAGTAGTACTGTGGTGGCCCTGACAATCATGGTTCACCATTTTCCTCCAAATGCCTGAAGGACTTTGTCCCCCTTTCAGGAATGTGGTCAGATCTCAGTTCCTGCCTCCTCACAGCTTGTCTCCTATGCCCTTTCTGGAGGACATCAGCAGGCCACCTCTTTGTGAGGAAGTGCTGTAGAGGGAAATGATCCCATTTCCTCAGCTTTGGCACTTCATTTGGCGTTAATCCATCAGCCCTCCAGATCCATGCTGCCTTAACAGAAAGGGGATTTGCTGTTTCTACTCTTAAATAAGAGGTGCAAAGAGTGTGGGCTGAGGAGACAAGTGGCCCACCAGCATCCATTTCATGGCCTCTAGAGTGAGTGGGGCCAAAAGCATCAATCTTCTTGCATGTTTTTTAGGTTTTAAGAAGTTATAGGGGAAAATGGGCATCTTAGGTCTTGCAGGGTCTTGGGTCCTCATTTCATCCCTCAAAAGTCTTAAAACCTCCCTAAAAGAGAGTCCTGCCCCAATCTCTTTTGGACTGGTGCCCTCAGCATGCTATGCAAGCTTGGTGAAGCCCTCAAGTTAACTGAGGATGCCCATTCCTGTCTTAAATATGTGGCAGCAATGTTGACAAACTATTACTATATTTATGGATATTTAGGGGTTTTTTTCCTTACACCTTAATGAAAACATGCTAAAGAGTTGACTAGTCTAAGTAATTTGGACCACTAGCCTCAACAGATTTTGTTCACTATCTTTCAAGATTTTATTTCTAGTGGTACAAACATCTGCTGGGTGAGTGGAAAGACTACCTGCAATTCATAGGAGGTTGTCTTAAGTCCTGGTGTGAACTTTCCACCAAATCTATATTCGGTATTCCAAATAAACCAAGCTATGGTTTCTCTGTATTTTTCTTTACTGTCTAAGTAGTTACAGCATTAAAGTTGTTGAATATACCCAAGTCCTGGCCTTCTATACTAAATGCACTAAATCATTTTGCTGTTACTGATTATGCTGGCCCAAAGAAGAGCAGGCTTCTTCCCGCCCCCCGCCCCCCCGCCAAGGTTTGCTAATGGGATTAAGAAAATGATTAATTTAGGTTTTATCTTTTGGCAACATTCTTCCCACCAACTCTCCACAAGTACAGTGTTAAGAAGTAATCTACTTCTGTTCTGCAGTGCATCCACTTGGTCAAGAGATTTCTTTATGCCTTCCTGCTCCTGCTCCTAAAAATGAAGGGTCAAACCCTGTAGAGCAAAAGACTCTTACACCAAGCAGCCTCTGCCTTATCTAACCACTTTATCTAACTTTTAGGAGAGAGCGATCCAAGGTGCCTTACATTGTGCGCCAGTGTGTGGAGGAGATTGAACGTCGTGGCATGGAAGAGGTGGGCATTTACCGGGTCTCTGGAGTTGCCACTGATATCCAGGCTTTGAAAGCTGCTTTTGATGTCAGTGAGTATTTACTTATGACGTTTCCTATTCTACTGAGAAGAAATCAGTCCAGTGGTTTCTCTAGTGCAGCAGATTGCAAGAATCAGTCACAAGAGAATGTGTACAGAAGAGGAGACGATCCATCTGTCTATCGCATCTTATTTTGCACTGGTTTCTGGGAGATGTCAAAACTTAAGATATTTCACCTATTAAAACTTAAGATATTTCACCTCTTCCACTGTTGCTTCAGGATCAGAAACATTCTGCTGGGATGCAGAATCCGTCCTACTCACAGCTCATGCTCAGTTCCTTCCTTGCCATCATGTCAGGTTACCACATGTCAGGCATTGTCATTAAACCAGATGTGGAAACCACCAGATGAAACAAATTATGATTTGGAAGCAATCATAATCTGTAGCAATCATAGTTTCTTAATCACAGAGAAGTTGGTTAGTTCTTAACAGTTGTCAGTTAGGAACTTGTGCATGAGAGAAGAGAGGGTATAAATCCACCAAATATATTCATGGTTTGGAAAATTATTACAATTATGACTGATTTGTCTGAACAGTTTTGTTAGATGGAGCACATAAGAATCATATCTGAGCAAACAACTTTCTTTCCTTCTTTTAGATAACAAAGATGTCTCCATCATGATGAGCGAGATGGATGTGAATGCTATTGCGGGAACACTAAAGCTCTACTTCAGGGAGCTGCCAGAGCCTCTCTTCACAGATGAACTCTACCCCAACTTTGCTGAAGGCATTGGTAGGTGGCTGCATTATGCGGGTGCTACTGCTACTTCGTGGTCACCTAGCAATGGGAAGGCGCTTGGCAGAGGCTCCCTTGAAAGCGGCAACCTTTCCTGAATTTCTGGGTTAGCTTCACACACTAAAATTAAGGAGACGTGACACCTCCTTAACTCTCAGACCACTCAGGTGAGGCAGGAAAAGACGCAACTTCTTCAGGGAAGCGCTGACAGCAGGTGCACCTTTCCAGGTTTGGAGCCAAATAGTTGCCCATCCCTAGCATACAGTCTTGTGTTTCGCCATGTTTGCTTTTTCTCATAAACAAATTATTCCTTTCTAAGAGTTGTGGCACCTCTTTCCATCTTTCTGTTGCCCATTTTTTACCTTCCTCAGTTCTACACTGTCCTTTGTGAGATATGTCAAGAACCAAGTCCAGCTTTCCACATGATCTTTCTACAGATAGAATAGTGGCAGTTAATGATTTGTGGAGTTCTTGGTGCTTTCTGAGCTTGGTTGTTTGATTCAGACGTTTCGTTACCCAATTAGGTAACATCATCAGTTCTCTACCATGTTAATACTTTAGGGGTTCTTCCAGCTCACACACACACACCCTCTGGCTGCATTCGGAGGGTGCAGTAATTTGTGTGATTCAGCTAAGCATTGTCTGCAAATCCAGCCAATTGTCATTTATCTAAGAAGCCATGGTTAAATAAACCATTGGTTAGAAACAAGAATGAGCTGTTGTGAGCTCTCCTGCTGCAGGACAGATTCACTGCTAACAGAACTCATGGCAGGTTGGAACAGATGAGGAAAGGTGAAAATGCATCTGTACTGAATCTGGAGGTTGAGTCACGACAACTGGACTCCTTTTCTTTTGCTTTGATATGTTTCGCTTCTTGTCCACACAGCTTCTTCACTCTCGAAAATTT